CCAAAGAAGCCCTTGCCGAGAAAAATTTTCTCCGAACTGCAGTATGATTTTTAGGAAGGAAAAGTTTAAATCTACCTCCTCTGGTGTGGGACGGAAGAGGAATGAATGAGCTCTTACTACTCAAGCACAACTTGCCTGTGATGATTTTGTGAACTGTCACCAAATCAGACTTCTTCCTTCTACAGAGAAGAGACTCAAGCCCTAACATCTGATTCCTAACAGCCCCCTTAGGTATGCTGTTGTAGTTATACCCTAAAGCACGAGTTAGAACTTTCCTGGTGAAACTGTTTTGAACCGCCTCAAGAACTAAAGTCAACTTTTTAGAATGGGGGAAGAAGATGACTGAACCATACTCCATGATAGGACGGATATATGTCTTGAAGGCCATAATGAGGATACCAGGATCTTTAGTATACAAACATCTAAGAAGTTGAAACAGTCTATATTGTGCTTTATTAGCTATGATGCTACAATGCGATTCGAAAGATAGATTTCTATCAATGATGAAACCTAAGTCTCTAACCTCATCAACTTTTCTGAGTTGACACTCGCCTACGTAGTAGGTTCCACTGTTTTTCAAGTTACCGAAATGAATTACCGATGTTTTTTCAGGGGCTAAAGGTAGTGACCACATTTTAGACCATCTAACCACTGCTTCGATGGCCTCTTGTAGTTTAACAGTATCCTCCTCACCTGTTACAGCCTTATAAATCTTAACATCATCCGCAAAAAGCTTACAACTGACTTCATGCTCTTGAACAACATATGGAAAGTCATAGGTATATATGATAAACAGCACAGGTGACAGAACCCCTCCCTGCGGAACACCGCTGGGAACTGCTTTGGGAGCAGAGAAAGTACCGCTGATACGTACTTGGAATGAACGGTTGAGCAAAAAAGCTTGAATCCATGAAATTATTCTGGCATGAATACCGACATGCTTTAGTTTAAGTAGGAGTTTGGAGTGGTTAACTCTGTCGAATGCCTTAGAAAAATCGAAATAAACGACTTCGACGTCTTTTTTAACGTCCGAGTAGCAGTCCAATCATTCATGGATTCTATAAGCTGCGTTACGGTTGACTTCCCTTTTCTGAACCCGTGTTGACTATCAGGCAAAATGTCATGCCTTTCCAAATGGTCAACGATCACACGCTTGACTATTTTCTCGAAGACCCGGCAAAATACCGACGTGATAGAAACAGGCCTGTAATTGTTTGGATCGCTAAACGGGGGCTTTTTAGGGATAGGGGTAACGAACGACCTCTTCCAACGCTCAGGCACTTCTGCTCGGAATAGGCTCAAATTGAATATAAACTTCAGAGGTCCCACAATAGATGCCAGAACTCCCTTGACAAATCTAAAAGGAACGCCATCCGGAGTGATCGATGAACGAGGCTTGCATTTCAGAAGTGCTGCGAAAATCTCTTCCTCATTAAACCAAAGAGAGTCCTGCATAGTTGGGAAAGATCCTATTAGCTTCAAGTTTTCCTCTGAGATTCCAATGTCAGCATTAAATACGTTTTCGAAGGCTTCAGAAAAACTTTCTGCTCTTTCATAATCAGAAACCACTGGGTGCCCGTTGGGCTTGAGCAAGGCCGGTAGCCTCTCACTATTTTTGAATCTAGATGAGATATATTTGAATAAAGCGAATTTGTTACTGCTACCAATGATGCCTTTTTCAACCAAACAGCTATACTTGTACATTTTAGTTTCAAATTTTTTTGCGATTGTTTTATAGTGATCCCAATCCGTGGTACATCCAGATGAAACAGCTGTTTTATATAACTTGGCCTTTTCCTCGTAAAGTGAGTTAAGAAAGGTGGGGACACGAGCCTTCCGCAATCTCACCTTCCGTAGGGGAACGAATAAGGCTATGGCCTGCTGCAGAACAAAAAGGAACATTTCATACATGTCGTTTACGCTAAGTCCAGAAAAGGACCCGTACCAGTCTACGGAGTCTAGAAAACTTGAAATTATCTTATAATCAGCTACTTCGGAATCGCGTTTAACCACATACTTCCTCTTTTCAGCACTAATTTTCAGTCCAAAATGAATGGTGGCGTGGTCACTAGAACCTAGTGGAGGCTCCACCCCTATTCCGATAACAAGTGTCTTCTGATTACAAAAAAGAAGATCGAGAATGTTGGTACATCGAGTGCTCTTTTTTACGTATTGATGGAACCCATGAGTTCTGACCATATGCAAAAATCTCTGACTCACACCCGAAATTTGGCGACTGCTATCCAACCAATCAATCTCCGGCATATTAAAGTCTCCCATAAGAAGAGAGACCATGTTACCTACTGAGACGTCACTTACACATTTGATTAACTTATCAGTCATTTCAACAGCACAACCAGGGGTTCTGTAACAAAGAATAACTCTTATCTTGCTATCCTTTACATGTGAATCCACTACGACTACCTATACCCATTCGGAACTGACTCACTAAAAACAAACGCTGGGCAGAAGGCGTGATTGATTAGTAAGGCGACACCCCCACCCCTCTTCCGCTGACGATCACACCTAAAAACCTCATAATTAAGGGCTAGATCACCGACTAGACACCGAAGGTCGGTTCCGTTTTTTAACCATGTTTCAGACAAAGCAATTATGCCATAATCATCTTTAGATAGGACGTATTGGAAGGATTGGACATTTTTTATCAATGAACGCACATTGGTTAGAAAACATTTTGTGACCCCTGGATGATCAAGTGCCGCGGATGGAGGAGATGATTCTCGCGGCCGCTCCCGAGGGCTCTGCCCAACGCTGCTGTGTTGGGGGCGGCCTTAGGCAGTTCGCCAGGCAATATTAGAGTGGACGAGGGGCTTTGATTTTGCGGGCGGCCCGAATCACCTCCTGAATAATTCCCATTCACTCGAGTGCAAGCTTTTGGCTGGATGATGAGCAAGGTACCAAATACACTCACAAACTCTTCACACACGTATGCGTGGATAAGCTGCTAGATACAAATTGTATCTGGTGTCTTTGAACAATTATCGGCGACTTTTGGTCAGCGATTTACTCCCATCTGCCACCCGGGGACGCCCTACTTAGCCTCGTCGCTAACCGGCACTAAGCACTAGGAAGCACTAAACAGTATACAGTAGAAGCAAGGGATTATGCAACAAATGACTTTTTTCTCATTATAATGAATAGGCCTTCACTTATAATTTTTTTTTCGTGCTATGTGTGGCAGTCCTTCTGATAGTGACATCTGTAACGAGCTGCCTATTGCAGTTTCCTTGTGATGGTGATCGAGCAGGATTCAAATTTAGGACGCTATTGATGAAGTATTTTCGAATTGCGTTGATTGGATAGTGGATCCATGTCAGCAGTTCTCTATCAAGTTGCTGTTGGAATGGGTTCTAGTGCGAATAGCCACCCGTTCCTCGGAACTGAAGCGAAGAGTGGTAGACTTGGAAAGATTATTTGCAAACAAGAGAATTGGGAGCGTATCTTCGTGGATTAATATGATGGTGCTGATATCTCGCATGGAAGCTGAGGTCGTTGATGAGCTTCGCGTTTCCCCGACTCACTTATTTCCTTTTTCAATGTTACGTTTTCCAGGCTTCTTTATCCTTTTACATAGAATTGATCTTGCCATGGACGACTGCACAAAATTTCGCTGTGCGGTGCACTGCTATTGCTGCTTTACGGCTGCTATACAATATGGTTGCTTGTGAGGAGCTTGATAAGTGGAACCTGGTTCGAAGAGTAGTAGAATTCGATAGTGAACCATCTGGGTAAGTCAGTACGCAATGTTGGCTTTAGTATTGATCCAAAACCTACCGTTCGGGAATTTTACAACGGTGTTTTTGAATAAGTTTCTCGAATTGAAAATTAGGCCATGTCAGAGAGCTTATCGAGTTCGCTGTGGGCAAAGCTCTTCTAATGAGATCGTGTTGTAGTCAATAGTGGCGAATGGGCTTGTACCGTGGCTGTTTTTGAGACTCGGTTCTCGGCACTTTTAGATATTCATTTTAGAAATTCGAAGCGAATAGTAGAGAATCTGGTGTCAGATTTCTATTTTGCTTACTTGCATCCCACAAAGCACTTCGATATGCAAACAATTCTGACTGAACTACCGTCAAGAACAGGCATGCCGTCTGAAGAGACTATCGGCGTCGATCTCCTAAAAGTAAATATATTTTCTTGATTCGAGTATTTCATTCACATGCCTGTCTATTCTAGAAGTTCAATTCATCAGAAGTGCCAAGCTGCAATGAAGACTCACAATTTTTGTCTGCTCAGTCTCTAGTGTACTCAGGTGATCTAGATGAGGAAGGTTGCTCATAATTAGCTCACTAAAAACTTATGTTTTCAGCACTTTCAAAAAGCAACCGATGCGCACCTGATATCAACGAACACGGGCTTGAAGATGAATTGCTGGACAACAAAAGTAATTGTTGTATTTTTCCTAGGTTCATGAAGGATAAAAAGGTTAAAGATCTCTCTGAGCAATTTTGAATCGATACTGCTTGCAAGAAATTTTGTCATGGTCTTTCAGGTTCTTCTCTTGTTCAACGTAAACTCATCACCAAAGAAAGAATCCTGAACAGTGACTGCAGTATAGTTGTTGTGGCATCTCTTGTCGATAAGCCCAACAATCTAGGAGGCACTGTTTTTTTTTTCGTTTATAGTCGTGGAGGTAACGCTCAGCAATGTCTATTTCCAGGGTTGTGCCGTACTTGTGAGATATTTGGCGTGGACCAGCTAGTTATTGCTGATCCCATATTTGTATCTGATGTTGGTTTCAAAGCGCTGAGCATGTCTAGCGAGAAGAAGCAGAAAATAGAATTTGTAAGCCAATTGTTTTGTTGCGAATATGTTGTTTTCGGCGAATATTCGTGATACTCCTAGGTTCGACCCGAGCAACTTTTGGGTTACTTGGAAGAAATGCGTCAGAAAGGCTACACTGTCATAGCAGCAGAACAAACTACTGATAGTGTTTTCTTACACAAATTCAGTTTCCCTAAGAAGGTGTGACAATTTATTTTCTTTCTACCCAAGAAATCAGAATTCATTTGAGCTCCCTCATTTTCTCTCTGTGGTTTCGACGACGGGATTGAGAGGAAAATTCGAAGCGGAAACACTTTTCTGAAATATGGCAGTAGAAATTCATTTCTTTTATAGTATTTCCTCGTGTTTGCCATATGACCAGTGGACTAAATTTTCAGTTAGAGGCACAGTCCCCGATTGTTTTGAAATATCTAGTTCCATATAAATAATGGATGTGATGGTTCAGAAGTGGAGAAGGAAACGCGAAAATCGGAGTATTTAGAGAAATACAAAGCTTCAAAAATAGTAGAATTTGTCAGGGGTTGGACGAGAATGTGAGTACAAAAGTTGCAAACCGCTTAATGTAGCCAGCTGTATGTAATGGCACACACATTTGGACGAGCTGTCCAAACGTGTGTGCAATTGCGTACAGATGACAACGATAAGCTGTTCGCGTGTAAAATGCGAATGGAGTCGTGGATCGTAACGCTATTGTAACCGCTTTTCCCGGTAGCCCTCTTTCCAGAGGGTTATTCGCATTCACTGTTGAAAGAGTATCTTTCGTTGCTCAAGGGTCAAATAGAAAGGGCAGTCAGCGCTGTTAAGAATATTGAAGTTTTGCTCCTTTCAGAACCCCAGAGATAATTAAAAGTTTGTTCGATGCCAACAATTTTGTGGTTGAGAAGACCGAGACACAAGTTACTACTTTGGCTAGTCTTGCCAGCCTCAGTCCCTTCTATTCCTTCCTATGCCAATGCGTAACGCGAAATCGCTATTTTCTTATCTTGTATGCATGGTTACCAGTGCTATTCATGGCAACAACAAAAGTGGCGCATGCTGTAACCAGAAAGGAAGCATTAGTGAAGGTGTCCGTAATGGCCCTTTCAAAAATAGTACAAGTAAAAACAGTGAAAAGGGCTGGTAAATAGGAACAAGCCGTTGTCAAATAAATTGTTTACAGTGATGCTTCTTTAGTCTTTAGTCAAGTATGCAACCATTATCCGGTTCGAGTAATGTCCGATCACTACTAGAATAGTCGGTAGGGATGTCAAAATCCACAGAGATCCTGCTCCATAGGTAACGCCGCGAAACACCAGAAACTGTGAGCACATTAAGTGAAGATGAATGAGTATTTGAGGGGATTTTGATTGTTTTTTGTTGTAGTTTTTCTTTATTTTTGTTACTGAGCTGTAGAATGGGTAGCCGCTTAGTGTTCATACATTTTCAGACTGTTCTTGTCCTCGGTGACGAAAAGGAAGGAGTTCCAGTGAATTTGTTAAGATGTGTTGACCAAACGGTTGAAATTCAGCAGCTGGGCCAAACTCGCAGCCTCAACGTTCATGTGTCAGCAGCGCTTTTTATAGCAAAATATGCTGAGCAAAATCTTTTAGGCTGAGATGAACTTTCAGTGAACAACACTTAGAATTTTTTAAAGCATCTTTATAACTCTTTGTGACTTTTGAACTTTGTGAGTTTTGGAGGTTGCATATTTTGAGTTGGCATTCAAAACTAATGTTTGTAGATTTTGTTGGTGTGCACGAGTTCAATGACTAGATACTCTGTTATCATGGGATTCTGAAGCCTTATAATAATTGAATGTTGAAAAATTGCAATTCAAAGATTACTCATAATGCTCGGAATTTTTACTGCTTCCTGGAGCGACTCACTCATCTTTCCCTTTTTTATCGAAGAGACCACCTTTGATGTCTTCGCCGAAGTCACTTTTAATTTTTTAAATTCGTTTTGTTTACACATTTGCACTGTTGGGATGTTTGCTGTTATTGTTATTGTTATTTCAAAATGAGAAATTGTAAAGTTTGATTGACAGGTTTCCCGAATTTATTTAATTATACATTAATATGAACAATTTTGGGCGATTGTTTTGGTTAGGCAAAGATTATAGACGAAAACTCTTCGATGAAGCTACATTCTGTCAGCCAGATACTACTTTTCAACTTATAAGGAACAAAATCTCCTTTGCCTTCCAATTCTTGCTGTAGGAATCACTCCGGCAGGTACAGCTATTGTCGCATTTACGTAACTCATGGATTAGAAAAAAGACATTCACCTTCTAAATAATAATCATTGAGAATTGCCCAAATCAACGCCATTTAGTAATTATACGACATAACATACACAGCAAAGTGAGAGTTGAGTGACTGTCAGGAAAAAAAGTCGTCAAAAGGGATTGATGAGGGCCACGGGACCGGAAATACAGTACGGGCACTCGGCTTCTACAGTAATCTTGCTATGATTCTTGGCTCGGATGAGTAGTCGTCATGCATTACCATTCCTTGGCTACACACCTATTTGCGTGGTGTCCTTGCCAAAGATCCTTTTTTAGTAGGTTATTCAGTAACGCTTCAATGATTTCTCTGTTCGAAAAGGGATAAGCCATGAAAAGGGAATATCTGTTCGTCGAATTCTTCGTGCGTTGAATTCCATTATTCTGCAAGACCACTGTAAGAGCCGCACTGAATTTTCGTTCCTGTAAACGGACGTCGACATCAGTGGGGCTAGTCCATCCTCTGTTGGTGACTCATTCTCTATCTCGACAGACTTTCCCATGCATAGAAGTATGAGTCGAAGGAGCTCCTTCAGTATAGTAGTGAACGTGATGAAGTCGTGGTTTTGGAGTGAGTAATGATTATCGGACCTTTCTCCCAACTTCTTGCCCGTCCTTGCCACAGTCTATACGGCGATTACTACGGATGCGTTGCACCCTACCTAAAAGGTTAAAAGTTTGACTCACTTTTTTCTACTGATTACGATCACTGAGCGATCACTCAAGGATCTCAAAAAATTTCTATGTCGATTGCAAGAAAATTTGTCCAACCCCTTAATGGGACAATATCAAGTACTTATGAGCATAAGAAGGGCAAAAAGCAAGGACTACTGGTCAGTTCGGACCACCACTGATCTTATATATGAAATCAATTCACACGGATCACCTATTTGTGGTTGCTCAGCACATTTATTCGGCGGCTTACCCGTTGCACTCTTCTAACTCACCGATTCCACGTGGGATGTCGGAATACCCGTGTTTTGGAGTTTAGGTGAGCCCCTATGACCCCAGGTGTGGCGAGCGGGCACCATAGCCGACTGGTGCGGGTCTGAACTGCGTTCGGCCTCTGTATATTGTGTTCTGCAGCCACGTCAGTACGCTGATCCTGTGTTAGGTGGATGGACTGTCAGAGGTTCTCTCATAAGCTTCAGTAAAGAAATCTGGTCCAATAAGTTGAAAAGTGGTACATGAACCCCCTGTCCTACAGGCTTTCTTGCCTGGTCATTTCGCTTTTTTTCTCTTTCCTTTTAATAGTTCTTGTTTCTGCCTGTTTTTAGAAACTAGTAATGTTTACTCATTTCTCACAGCTTTTCTTTGTAGCGCGCCTTTGAGCGCATTCAATAAATAAAAAAGTTGAAATTGTTTTAACGATTAGTTTGCTTTATTTAACATCATTCATGGCTTCGTTTGACAATGTTACCGTACTAATCATGAAGAGAAGTGTTCTGCTCCAGTAGGTCTGAAGAGAAGGAATATTAGGTCTCCAAATAATGCGTCTCACTGAGATCAAATTAAGATCGGTGGTGAAGTGGCAAGTGACGCACTATCGCACAAACATAGTCAGGTTCGGATTCCGAATCGTTATCCGCCTAGGCAAACTAAGTCTCTCCAGGGTCTCTAGGTTGGAACGGGGCTCGTTTGGGAGGATAATATCGTGGAATTGAGTGCCGGCGACCACCGAAACCATTGCATGAGCAACTATGCGCTCAATACGCCACTACGATTCTGAGGTAGGAAGACGAATGCGAAGGCGCATCCCTCAGACGGGACTGACTAGCGCCAGAAGGCTTTATTCTTCAACTCCCTTTTATGTGCAGAAGTTAGGGGATGCCTGTCTACTTCCGAGCACCTAGTCCTCAAAAATTATTGTTACATTGTTCATACTGTAAAGAAGGATCTCCGAAATAAATGGAAATGAGGATCTCCTGAATCGTGCAGGCTTTTTAACTGACGTTGCCACACGACGATGGAGATCTCAGAGTAAACCAACCGATTCGACTAGGGTATAGATAAGCACATGATGTGAAGGCTTATTCCAACCAGGCGGCGTTTTGTGTACACGAAACTCGTCAGTCTCTGCCGGGCTTGATAAGGAATGTGTTAGTCACTGAGCAAAGCTCACTGCCATTTTCTCTCTATTTCGATGAAGGCATGTGGTATCCCCCTAAAGGTTATTTAATGCCTATATTAGCCCTAATCATTGAGAACATCAATTAATGGTTATGGTTTCAGGCAGCATCACAATGCATGGTCGTGTTTGAGTCTATCATAACAAAGCTGCTCCTGATCATCTCTATTTGTTCGATTATTTACTCACCAACATGGCGTTCGTTTTTTGCTTACTAAAGACAACTTCAAAACACCTTTAATACATCTGTGAACTTCTTCCTCCGAAGATAAGTCCATGTTACGGAGCTCACAGTCACTGCAATGCTACATATTGGCACGGACGTAATCTTTGCTATCAACCACGACTACAATGTCATCCACTCCTTCGTAGACGATTTCAAAATTTACCGGCAAATGTTACTGACCAACAATACAAGTCGTTTTCCGATCATCCCCTCATATTCTACCATGGATATTTGCCGCAGGGTGTTCGAGTGGGACGCCACTTGAGTAGGTACTATAGTAAAAGTAAAAGTTGAAAATCAATCAGCAGCTAAGTCTCTAGCAGTTGGGGCAAACTGGCCAATTGTATTTATCACGGATATAGATTTTTTGTTATCTTCACATGCTGATCAACTCTTATCGTAATTATCAGTCCTTATCAGTTTTTGACAACGATTTTCCTTATTTCCATCACATCACTGTGATCGTTTGCCATCTACCGTTGTATTCTCTCGCGAGTAGACTCCTCACATTCTTCAGCCTGTGATCAGTTCTTATCTGTTGTTATTATTCTGGAACATTCAATATCTGTTTACTCATCACATTGAACCGAATAACCATCAGTGCAGATGTCCTACATCATTGGGAAGCAAAAGGCATATTCGTCTCAAGGCATTTCCCTTCCAACGCTCTCATTAGTTCTTAAGGCTTGCTACCAGCTCGTGATATCATCTGAGGGCTTATTTCCATTCCACTCTTACGGACTTAGATACACTTTAGTCTATAGGGAACTCATAATTATTCCATTGACCTATGCTTTCCACTGCTGCCTATCAACCATTAGCAACCTTTTCAGTTTTCACGACCTACCCTCCGATCATTGAACAACTTTTATACCAGGGGTCTAAGAACTAACAAAAGAGCCTTTCTTTCCTAGTAGCTTTGCCTCTTGAAGCCTCTTTCAGACTAAGAGTCGAAGCTTCAACACGGCCCATTACCCATTTGCAACCCTCCAACATTCTTGAAAAATATGAGGGCATGTAAAATCGGATGGCAATCTTCCTTTACAATTACCAGAAATCGGAAAAAAGTGAAAGTGTCGTTTTCCACAGGAATGGAGTGAAAATTGTCCATTTTATTGAGATGGACCTCGTTGATGGTCTACAAGTTATGGTGCGAGTAGGACACTGTTCCCATATTGAGCCTTTCTCTGAAGTGCCCTGGAACGAGTGTTTTACCGAGATTCATGAGGGACTTTATGATTATGTAAAGCACTGTAGAGCTCCAACGTGAAGGGCACGAGCTTAGTACTACACTGCTTTAGCCCCTTTTATAGGTATAGAACCTTTTAAACTCCATAAAAAGTAATCAGGACATGAGAGGTTCTCTTTCTAGCAGAAGCAGCTTTGAGTCGTGAAAGGGAAATGATCATGATCATGAATTCTAGACAATTGTGGGAACCACCATGTGAACTCGTTGTAATGCTCGAATGTAGGGTTTCTAATCTTCGAACTCAAGAAAGCAAGCGTTTACAGTCTTGGCAGGAGTTTCATAGGAGTTTATTCGAAACAGGATAAACATGAAAATTGATTAATCGAATTAAATTAATGCATTTACTAACAAGACTACTGGCTGCGGAAATGCTATCGCAAGTAGATGGTTTAGATAGATATAGTTTTTTTTACGAGTTCACTTTTTCTATATGTGAAATTTTTTGCAGTGCCAGTCTTCATTAACTTTGCTTTCCTGTTATTTGCTCTATTTTCAATGACTTGCTACTCATTCTGTTGGAAAAGATCAAACAATATATACGTATTACCGATACTTGTCTATGAAGTAAGTTCTTTAAACTCTCTCAATCATAGAATTCTCTCACAACATCTTTTCCTCTTCCCAACCAGTTAGTGGCACTTATCCTCATGCCATTGGTGAATTCCCACCTGTGAGTGAGGCCGTATTTCAGACGGCCAGCATTTTTTGGATAATGATCTGGTTGTACGCTAGCATTACCGCTATTACAACGGGATATTTATGGTCGCTGGAATGGATTGGTGGCCCACAAACGGACAGAACCCCTACTTCTCATGACATCCTCGATGAACGTTATGTGAATCCCAATGAGACGAATCCCGAGACACAAAAAGGCGAGTCCATCTCTAATATATAGTAAAACTCAACTTTATTTATACAATATCCCTAATTACAGCGATTAAGTACGGATCCATCATATTGGTCATTTCTTTTGTGGTCCTTATTCTGAAGGTACTCGCCTGGACCATTGCTCGACGGGTTTTCAGAGAACTTCGCAAAGAGCGCGAAATGTCTATGGACGAAACAGAAGGTGACTACTTCACATACACTTTATGAGCGGTTTCTTTAGAAACGGGTAGCTCCTAGACAGGATTGACGTACCTTCTCCTTGCCACGACTGCTTTTTTTAACACGTCCCATACTGCGCTTTTTTCCGATTGCTCGGCGGTGGTGTGATGTGAATCTGTTGGACCATCGTTGCAGTGCAAATGGATTGAAGAGATTTCCTAGCAATTTTCCTGCACAAGACATTGAATAGCACTTCAGAATGCCACCAATATTATCAAGGCATTCGGCGAGGGATCACATCAAAACCCTCGCTGTGTTTTTCGTATAACTTCTAGATATCTGCTAGAACGCATAGTGCCATAGTCTCGCAGGGAAGATGCACCGGTGTTCGGTAGTGAGCGAAAGCAATGCCACAGCGGCAGTCGATCGCCGCTGGCACTTATTTCTGCCGAAACTGCCTCAGCCTGACATCGTTCGATGTTCCGACGTTCTCATCGCGCTCCAGACTTCCTATTCACCCATCCTTCTATTCCTGCCCTATAGTTATACGCTCATCGTCTATCGCAGCTGGTCGTATCCAGGAAAGGGAACTCCACAGATCGACGGTATGATCGCTGTAAAATTAGTTCGTAGACCTTTATGATAGGTTTATTCGCTGATAGGAAATGTTTATAAACCTTTCCAAAATCATTGTCATAGGCGTACCATTGAGTATATATTAGTCAATTCTTGGCTACAGAGGGTTCATTATACTAGGCTCAAGAGAGGTAGAAGCAGCAGGTCCTCTGTATCGAAGGAATCTGCACGCTCTCAGTGTGCTTCGTGGCAGCAGGACTAACCGGCGCAGGAGAGCGGGGCCGGAAGGCCCAAAAGATTCCTATAGCAGAGGCAGCGCGAGAAGTACTCATTGTGGAACGCAATGGCTCCACCACCCGGCTATTCACCAATGCAGTATTGTTGGGATTTAGGGCAGCGTGCCGTAGCCGGTGCAGCCGTTATGAAAACTTTTTTGTAAACAAAGAGCTCTTTTGACAAAAAGCTTCATGCAATGTCATCTGCAAGGGTAGTGCTAGTGCCAGCCAAAGTAGGTTCGGAGTAACTGAGGGCTCCATGTATTAATAGACAATGTCAATGTATCATAATGCATTTAAACATTGGCTGGATCTGCGCATCAGATGACCTTAACGCTTTTGGAAGGTAGTGAAGAGAACGATGCTATACACAAGGCGCTTTATAAAGCACCATCAAGATTTCCCATGTGCTACTCGGTTAGACAATAAACTACTCAAACCTTTGACCGAGACAAACTACTTTGCTATGTGAACAACCTTGGTTTTTGCTGCTTATCTCATATATACCGATTGGAGCGTTTCCAGAATTTCAACAGAAGAGCTATGAATCGGGTTTCTTTAATGAAGATAAAAGGATGCCAGTTGTCTGGATGAACTGTCGTCTATGTGCAAAGACATCACCGACAATATCGCCGTCAACGTCGGGTCTTCGTTTGCTGCTTTCGAGACACTAGAGAGGATGCTGCTGTGGGAGCTGCCAATCTACCCACCAGAGGAAAAACGACAACCTCTACTCGTTACGGCTTCGAGAGTGGTCACCATCTCTCCTAGGAGTACAACTGGGACCTTCGAAACATTAATCTTTGCCACTTGTTGCCAATTTGAACGCTTGGTTTTGGGAGCAGCCTGCAACCCAGGCTCTTTTCTAGACTTCGCCTCCATTGTACTGTTACTTGTTCCGAAACCTGCTCGAGCACAACTTGAATTTGGACTGCTCAATTCTCAGTGGTTCAAGAACCCTTTGTTTATACTAAATTTTTGTCATCAGAGTGCCAAATTCCGATTTATGAATGCACTACCCAGCCCTCATGATGAAGGCCTAGAGATTAGAGGCTCTCAANCTCTGCTTCGAATGGAAGTGAACTTTCTTGACAAGTCTCGACGCGAGAGTTCCTGGGAATGAGAGATACTAATGAAAAGAGTTCTGGATGTAGCGAGCTCATTCACAAAACAAATTCTCATCATGGTCCTCTCTGGTTCACACTGAAAAGTTATGAGAAGAGCGTGTCTGAGCTTCTAGCCTCCAGTGCCCATCATACCGAAACCATGGTTTCAAAGACTTCTCGTGAGTTGGACCAAAGAGGGCGGAAAATCTCGATTTCTGATCCTCACCTCTCTTACCTCTCTACCGATAGCTACTCGCTAGCTGTCATGGCGGAACCTCGCCAGACAACAACTGACTATAGGTGCTGCCACTGGAGCAGTGTGTAGCCGAAGGCCGCAATGAAAAAAAAATAAGGCCGCAATGAAAAGACAAGTTGTCTTCTTTACTGTTTCATTTCTCATCTCATCTTTTCTTTACCAGCTGAATCCGATTCAAGTTCCAGATAAGTTCCAATGCTATCATCGGACTTCTGGGGCAGTCTCTTTTCATGTCTGAATAAGAACTCAGCTTACAACTTGCCATAATATATGATTACCTCGATTTTCCAGCGCATTCAGATGCTCCACTCGAAGAGAAAATGGCGTCCCCTGCTATGATGATGGAACTCAGACCAATGCTCGATGCGACACAACCAGCACAAACGCCATCACCCAGAGAATCCTACATATGATTGGATCTACGAGATCCTTCCGAAGATTTCCATCTTCAAAATGTTGTATCATTGACTACTTTCGAAACAGCCGACTGGTTATTTAAAAGGAGCATAATCTGAAGCAAATTTTTTCCGTAATTCTTAAACGATTTCCAGTTGAATAAATTAGTGATTGAGAAGGCTTGAGTAACTAAACTCTTAAAAAAGCTTATTCACTGACATGGAAGTCAGCTGTTACTCTAATTCATATACTTTCAAACAATACCTCAGTAAACTCATCACCAAATGTGAACTGATTTGAACTAAAGATAAAGATGTAACTGTAGTGGAAGTTGATAGAGATACTCGAGGTCAAACCGAAAAATATACAGGGTGCGCCATAAATATGGGCGCAACTTCTCGGACGTCCGCAATTTCCTTGTTTCAGGGTTTCTCCAAGTCTGCACCTTCCCTTCTTCTTCTTCTGCTCCCTAGCGTTAATCCCCGTTGCAGGGTCTGCTGTTCTTGTCAGCCGTCTCCATTTCATTCTATCTACGGCATCTTCTGCCGTCACCTTAGCTTCGGCGAGGTCCTTCTTCATTACGTCCCGCCATCTCTTCTTTGAGCTCCTCGTGGTCGCTTACCTCGAGCTTCGAGCTTCACTGCTTCCCTTATCGGATGGCTCTGTGGTCTTCTTAGTACATGCCCGAACCATCGCAGGCGCTGCTCTTTCAGCTTCTGTTGAACTGAGGCTGTTTGCATAGCCGTCTTGACGTCTTCATTTCCAACCGTCTTATTCACGTTCAGCCGGAGCCCATTCTCGCCAGTACCTTCTGCCAATTCTGGAGTTTGCCCTGGAAATTTCCTTGCTCTCCGCTATCAGAGCGATGTCATCAGCGTAGAGGATGGGTTCAGTGGTCCATCCATGAGTTCTTCTGTGATGATGTCCATCGTGAGCAGGAAGAGGAACGGGCCCAGAGCTGATCCCTGGTGTACCCCAACCGTGACATCTATTGCTCCGGTATGGCCGTGTGGGGTGCGTATTGTTGTGGTGGAGCCATCGTACATGTCCTTCATCAGGTGTGCTGAAACCTTTCGTTTCCGGAGCCCTCTCCAGAGGACTTGTCGCGGGAGACGGTCGAAAGCCTTCTCCAGATCGAAGAAGGCTAGGTATTAGAGTCTACACTTCTCTTGATACTTCTCCATAACTTGTCTGGCTATAAAGATGGCGTCCGTTGTAGACCTTTCAGGCATGAAGCCGAACTGCTCCTGTGAGATTGGGACCAATTCTCTCAAACATGAGTCGACCAGCCGCTCGTACAGCTTCATTGTAAGAGCATTCGACCTGATATCCCGGTGGTTGGAACACTCCGTCCCCCTTCTGCTTGAGATTGGAACGATAGTGCTCCTCCTCCACGCATCTGTGATTCTTCCTTTAGAGGTGACAGTGCTCAGGAATCGGGTGAGCCACTTTGTCCGTCCTCTCCGAACGCTTTCCATGCCTTGATCGGTACTCCATCCGGACCAGTTGCCTTCCCAACCTTCATCTTCCCTATTGCTCTACGCAACTCATTCTCTGTCCAGAGATTGATGGGGCAAGCCGTTGCCTCTAATTAGGAGCTGTTTTTACGGGCGAATTCTTCACTGAGGAACCCGTCGAAGATTCCTTCCACCTTCGCTGGACCTCGCTAGGCTTCTTCAGGATTGCACCCTCGCTGTTCCTGACGGACTTCACCACCCCGATGTCCTGAGTGGCGCGGTGACTCGCTTTCGCCAGGCGGAAGACGAACTTCTCTCCTTCTCGACTGTCGAGTTTCTCATATAAGGCGTCCATTTCCGTGTTCTTCGCCTTCGCGACAGCAGCCTTGGCGAACCTCTTGGAAGTTCTGTAGGCAGTTAGGTAACCTGGAGCTCCTTGTCCTTTGCCAGCGCTTATAAGCCGGTTTCTTCTGCCTCACAACTCATTGGGCATCACCATTTCAGAACCATGCTTCTTTTTCCCCTCGAAAACCACCTCGAGTTTCCCCCAGCGTTTCCTTTGCACATCGCAGGATGACCTTCACAGCGTTGCTCAAGTCTGCTGGATCGNCCCTTCGGGATTTGGAAGTCCAGCTTCTAGTACCTTTTCTTTTAGGTGTTCTGTTTCGAATTGGCGCAACTTCCACCACCAGATCCTCCGTTCCATTCTTGTACTTGATTTCTTAGGAAGATTGATGGCTATGTCTGCTAGAAGAGATCTGTGCTGTGGGGCCAGACCTCCTCCGGGCAGTACTTTGATGTCCTTTGCAGTTTTGAGGGACGAACTTCTTACTAGCATATGATCTATTTCCGTCTACTTCCCTCCACTGCTGTAGGTTACCCTTTCGCGAAGATGGTGCTACAGACTGCCAAGTCGTGGGCTATGGCCAGGGCAAGGACCCTCTCTCTCCTTCTCTTCTTCGTTTCTGACTCCTACTCCTCTACCTCCATGACCCTTTCCAGTCCCCTCCTTTCACTGCCGACGTGCGCATTCAGATCACGTGCTATGGTGGAGTAAACCCCCTCTGGAACCGATCGGATGGCCTCGTCAAGGCTCATTCAGAACTCATCCTTTTCGTAGACGGGGCAGCCGGCTTGAGGTGCGTACACCGATATTACTGTCCACTACCCCTCCTTCGTGTCTATCCTCACCGCCATGACTCGACTGCTGACCCTGTTCATGACCGACACAGAGCCATTTCGGCCCCACCATTTCGTTTGGTTTCTTCTCCGTTGTAGAAGAGTTTGACACCCTTTCCAATTTCTCTGGCCTTTGCTCCCTTCCAGCGAGTCTCCTGAAGGCACACGACTTGGATGTTCCTGCACTTCATAAAATCAGCGACCTCCCGGGACTTCCCAGTAAGCGATCCCACATTTAGAGTCCCTATTCGAACTGCCCTAAAATTCCATAGATAAGAGCGGTTTAATTTACCGGTGAAAAATGCATTGAAAAAAATCGAAATCGANACCCATCCATCAAGTTAGAAGGATGACTGCATTCAATTTCAATTTTTTCCAATTCATTTTTCACCGGTAAATTAAACCGCTCTTATCTATGGAATTCTAGGGTAACTTCTTTGGTCGAGGTCATTCACTCCTCGGTAGCCCTCGCATACTGTCCACAGAACTCAGGCGGGATCCTGTGCGCCACTTCCGGGTGACGTCCTAGCTTTATCACTGATACTCTTTGAGACTTTAGACATATTTGCTGTGGCTGGTTTCTCCATTAGCCGGCCTGTCAACCTGGGCCTGACGCTGGTACCGATACCAATTTTATAATTTTTGCAAGGCATGGAGTTGCCTCGGCAGGGATCGAACTCGCACTCCCTCTAATTGTAAGTGCAGATGTGAGCCCACACTCTTATCCATTCGGCTATCCCTGCTCCTTCCCTTATGTATATGAAATGCCTTAGCCCACATATCCACTTTGGTGCTCTCAATTACACAGATTTCGAAAAACGGTGAGGCCTCGCAGTCATCCACCAGCCGTTTCGCCTTTAGGGGTCTTTGATGAGTCGTTTTCCGGGACCGCTCCTCGTTTTAATATTCCCCACATGACAGTTCCTTAAACCGCAATGCGTAGACAAGTCAACGAAAAACCTCAAAGCGGTCGTCTTGTGTCACATGCGACCCCTTGTCCGAATAGAATTGCTTGGGAAGGAGTACGCTACGGAACCTGCAGAAACACGAGAAAAGTGACTGCTGATTTGTCTGTATGTACTACTTCGATGAGAATAGTCTACTCCAAGTAAATACAATTGTATCCCGATAAAATTCGAAAGGCTTACTTGAAGAGAAGAAGCTGGAAAGAAAAGACAAATGCTCTGTGCGATATGCGCGCGGCACGCGCTTGGCCACACTTGTTCTTACTAGGGGTTGTTCAGCGTGGAAGTAATGTTGAGATCCCAGAGTAGACGTATAATTCACACTACGAGTGCTGAAGCCGCTGAGAAGAGTCAGATTGCTTCTCATCGCCATTTTCTCCCTTTCGTGATGCTTTGGGCTAGAATCTCTACCACCAGAGCGATAACGCAAACTTTGGTAGAGGGAAGTACGAAATTTGACCCGAACTTCTTCAAGAAGGGTCTTTCTGAAAGGATGCAGCCAAGGATCAAAGATTCCTAAACTACGGTGCACTTGCTCACGAAAGGGAAAAGATCAAGACTGGTGCTGAAGAAATGTTCGCTCTTTATCTCAGCTTCCAATCTTCCTGCGAATTACTCGGGCCACAATTTGATGGGCCGCTGGATATAGTCCATAGTGGACAAGAAAACCTGCGCTTCATTCCGCACCACTGCTGCTGCTCCTAAGAAATGAGAAAAAAGTCCGAGCTGGAGCTTCTTAAGAAAGCTGTGTGCCACCGTCGATGAGCAGCCAAAGCGTCTCCGAGCTATAATTAGTACAGGATACGGTTATATAAGATGACCGTGTATTCGTTTTGTAGTTGCGATGCATAATAAATAGTTCGCATAAATTCATCATGTATCAATGTACAGGGTGCCCCAAAATTATGGGTGCCAATTCATAGCAATATATTTTAAGCTTCTCAACTGCGAGAGACGATGAAATTTCCATGCACGTGAACTATTAACATTTACTACAACACGCTACAATCGCATTTCGAAAGACCCCCCCCCCCATTAGCGCGGATAGAGGCCCAAAGTTTATTTCGACGTCATCGCATGTGGCACGCAGGTACCCTTCTCCATTTCTTTCCAGCCGTTTTTCACTCTTGCCTTCTAGGACTCCAAACTGGGACTGCAAACTTGACAGGTCCTCTTCTGATCGGGGACCATACGGGGAAGTCAAGTGAGTCAACCTCTGAAAAATAGGATGGCCATTACTTTTCACCGATGAAGTCAGGCAGCTGTCGTCGGCAAGCTTGGCTCTGTGGGTTGGAGTAGCATCCTGTTGGAATGACTACGAGATGTTTCAGGAAACGTAGTCGGATCAAAGCTTTTTTATGTCCTTCAGTACGCTCTTTGAGCCCTGGTCTTGGTCAATTTTCACGCCTGCACTGACGAAACCACGAACGTCTCACCCTTGCCCCCGACTTCCTTGAAAACATCATTTTACTGTTCTTATAGCAACATTTTGTGAGAAATTGCACTTTAGATGCTTCTTTCCGGAAAGCAAACATTTTGGTTGTTGAGGGGTTGTTGTGAATCGTAAAAACTTTTTGGTCAGAGAAAATGATGAAGGGTGCCTGTCATCACTTAAGTGGGTCTGCGACTTTCTGCATTTTTTGGCCCTGCAGTGCCTGTTGAGATTAGAATTGAAGCGAAATTTCTACATACGATAGGAATGGCAACGAAGCTTCTGCATGGATTCTTCCATCGCGATAACTCCTGTATGCTGTGCCCGTTGATTTCCTTTTGATGGGTCACCCAAGATCCCCACCGATTGGCAGACGGACCATTTTAACAGTCGTATCTTCAGAAACACTGGCCTTTCCACCTCTCCTGGTTCGTCTCCGACTCAATCTTCTTTTCTATATCGTTTGATAGCCTCCTATACGGATATTATACAAATCCCAAGGATTTTCATGATGCCCTTCTACCTTTCGTGTGTCAATGATTGCAAATGGCATCAAATGAGCCTCCTCCATCTAAAAAATATTAGGAGTTCCACATCATTAACCATGCATATTGCGAGGGAACCTACTTATGCAACTAATTAATAGCAGGTGCTGTGAATTTGATAGATTATTGCTACCTTGAAGGTTTTTGATTTTTGACGCCCATAATTTTGGGACACCCTGTACATGTATTGCGGTTTCTGCACAGCAATTATTTTGTTACCATATCTATGGTGCACCTTGTATGATAAAATACCCGTAAGGTAGTAGTTCGCGTGAAATGCTCGAATTTTTGAAGCCAAAAAGGTTCGAAGGGATCGAAACTTCAAAGACAGCCATACAGACAAAGAACCTTACCGACCCTCCATGGACCGTCTTAGACCTACAGCATGGAGTAGTCATGGAGTGATCCTTTCAGGTAATCTTCTGTGATCACGATTTGCGGGTATCAATCTTAACAACAACTACTAACAGGTCAGAGGAGGGGAGCACGACTTTCTCTGCATTCATCTTACAACCCAAAGTCATTTCTACAATGACCTGCACTCACCCACGACTGAATAATCAATCTGGAATGCAAGCAGCTGTCTGATGGGAAAGGTGAAAAAAGGGAAATGATCAATTATCGAAATCATTGGTGGGGCTAGTAGTAAACGGCACTATTTACCCTTTACTACCCCACTTCATCGAGAACAGGCTGGATTCCTATCGAAGTTTTCCAAGAAGATGAAACCGACAAGAAACATGCTAGAGGGGTAAACTGACCCGTAGAACACGGATATCGCATCCATTCGTCATGAAAATGCCTGGCGCCCCGCAACGCTAAGTTTTCAGCAAGATTGGTGACCCAGCTCCATTTGGCGCCGGCGCCTGTGGTGCGAGCGCTAGGCATTTTTATAGCGAGTGGATGCGATATTCGTGCTCTTCGGGTCAAATTACCCCTCTAGGCAAGTTTCTCGTCGGTTTCATTTTCTTGAAAAAGATTGATAGAAATCGAGTCCATCCTCGACAAACTGGGGCAGTAAAGGGTGAATAGTGCCACCTTTTTCTGTTCAGAAACAACTGATTAAATTTTCAAGAGTTCTCTACTCAAATAAATGTTTCTCATACCTCACAAATCACTCACACTGTACCAACGGTCATCCTGCGCTTCTTTCACCCGTTTCTTTTCATTTTCTCCACTTATCAGCTGCTGCGTCCGCTTTATCTTTTCATATACGCTAGGTACTACAAAGCAT